TACTCCTTCCTATCCCTGGATGTAACACAGGAGCATCATGGGTAAGTGGCTGTTAGGTAAGGGGGTGGAGTTACAAAACAGAACTTTCAGCTCACCTATTCCTCTTCAACCTTACTGCCTAGTTCCCACATCTTACGTTACACATATTGTATCGTAATAAAAATGGTTAACTGTAGAGTTGTCCTATGACCCAGTAATTTTCCTCCCAGGTCTGCGCCCACACGGGAAATAAAATTGCACCACACAGAAAGATTTGGCTCCAAATGGCAGCAAGTTAAATACCCAACTAGTGATGAATAAACAAATAAAACATGGTGTGGCCTTACAACGGAATGCATTTCAGCCTGAAGAACAAAAAAAAAGAAAAAGAAGCAAAGTATATGTTAACAGCTTGGGTGAGCCTTGGAAACACACCGAGTGAAAGAAGCGAAAGGATGACTCAAAGGTTCTGGGTGATTCTGGATACAGGAGCGGCCTGGGAAAAGACAATTCACAGGTTAGCTGCTGAGGGGAAGCGGAGTGCGGACTCTGCTGAGAACTAAGGAGCACTGGAGGGGATGAGGAAAACGTGAACTGACTAAAAATCAGGCCTACTGCCTCGTTATTGCCTTGAATGCGCTGGGATCCCATACGGGCACGGGTTCTAATCCCAGCAGCTCCACTTCCCATCCAGCTCCCTGCTTGTGGTCTGGGAAAGCAATGTATAATAGACAAATAAAAACAAAACAAAACAAAACAATTAAAAAAAAAAGCAGTAGAAGACGGCCCAAGGCCTTGGGACCCACACCTGCGTGGGAGACCTGGAGGAGCTCCTGGCTTTCGATCGGCTCAGCTCCAGCTGTTGTGACCTCTTGGGGGGGGTGAATTAATGGACACAAGATCTTTCTCTCTGTCTCTCCTCTCTGCATATCTGACTTTCCAATAAAAAAGAAAAAAACACTGAATCAGATTCAATGGGTGAATTGTATAATATGAATTATAGCCCACGAATGCTTTATGTATTTTGTCCTGGCAAAGCAGTAGAGAATGGCCCAAGGTTCTGGGACCTTGCACCTGTGTGGCAGACCTGGAAGAAGCTCCTGGCTTTGTATCAGCTCTGCTCTGGCCATTGCGGCCACTTGGGGAGTGAACCTGCAGATGGAAGTTCTTTCTCTCCTCCTCTGCAAATCTGCCATGCCACTTAAAAAAATCTTTAAAAAAATCAAAATTACAGAGAGAGGGAGAGAGAAATCTGCCCATTCACTCCCCAGATGGCTGCAACAGCCCTGGTTGGGCCAGGCTGAAGCTGGGATTTCTCCTTCATCTCCCACATGGGTGCAGGGTTCTAAGCCCTTAGCCTGTCTTTGGTTGCCTTTCCCAGGCACATTAGCCTTGCTCACCGGATTGGAAATGGAGTAACTGGGACATGAACTGGCACCCATATGGGATGCCAGTGCTGCACTGTGGTGTTTTACCTGCTACACCACTACGCTAGCCTCAAAGCTGTTTTGTAAATAGCCATAGATGTGAACATGGAGAAGGAAAGTCTCCAAGACCTATGACTGTGGAGTTCTTTGCCTTCAAATGCAGCCTTCCTGTCTGCTTGGGATTGGCCACTGAGGTCTATGACTAAGGGGGTCCCCACAGGCACAGTGTGTGGTGCTTGGACAATATCTGCTTGGCTACATCTCATGTGCTCACGTGTCCATGGAGACCAGACTGCCCACCTTCAGGGACCAAACCAAGAAAATGTGCAGCCCATTAATGGAGGAGGTATCTTAACAATTAAAAAAATTTATTTTTTAATTAAAAGGCAGAGGCAGGGGAAGTGAGCAAACCAGAGAGAGAGGGAGAAAGAGATCTCCCATTCACAGATTCAATTCCCAAAGACCTGCAACAACCAGAGTTGGGCCAGGACAAAGCCGGGAGCTCAGATCTCCGAGCCTCCCAGTGGGTGCCAGAAACCCAGGGCCCTGGGGCATCACCCGCTGCCTCCCAGGGTACATATCAGGAGAAACCTGGATTGGAAGCAGAGTAGCTGGGACTCAGCTTTGAGATGTGGGCTACACAAGTGGCTTTCTCACTGGTGCTCCAAACGCCTGTCCCCAGGAGTCATTTCCGACAGCTTCCTGATAAGCAGGCGCAAAAGTAATCTGCCACGCTAGAATTACATGGCAAATAGAAGTAAGTGACTTGCTATGGTCCCTGGATGAGGAGTTGAAACAAACCTTGGGTCTTTGTTTCCTAAGAGGTTCAATCCACTCTTCACTCCACTGGTCCTGGTCTGGCCTGCAGCTTTTTTTTTTTTTAGCTTTTGAGCTAAAATCTATTAGGTGGGCTCTGCAATGTGGCCTAGCAGCTAAAGTCCTCACCTTGCACGAACTAGGATCCCATAGGGTCGCCGGTTCTAATCCTGGCAGCCCAGCTTCCCATCCAGCTCCCTGCTTGTTGCCTGGGAAAGCAGTTGAGAACAGCCCAAAGCCTTGGGATCCAGCACCCATGTGTAGGAGATCTGGAAGAAGTTCCTGGCTCCTGGCTTCAGATTGGCTCAGCTCCAGCCATTGTGGCTGCTTGGGGAGTGAATCATTGGACAGATCTTCTTTGTCTCTCCTCCTTTCTATATATCTGCCTTTCCAATAAAAATAAATCTTAAAAAACAAAAAATCTACCAGGCTTGATTCTCAGGTGCTGCTGTCAGGAGGAGACAGCCCCATTAGGAGGTGACGCTTTCATATCTGCATGTCATTGGGGGTGTGCCCGGGAGGATAATGCTCGTGACAGGCTAGTTACAACGGCCTGACTTGGGGGGCATTAGCCGTCATTGTGCTGCTTGGGGCAGTATTGTGATGCAGCCAGTAAAGCTGCTGCCTGCGATGATGCTAGCATCCCTCATGGGTGCCAGTTTTGTGTCCCACTGCTCCACATCTAATCCAGCTCCCTGTTGGAAAAGCAGCAGAGACTGGCTCAAGTGCTTGGGCCGCTGAATGTACGAGATACTCAGAAGAAGCATCTGGCACCTGGCACCTGGCTCTGGCCTGGCCCGGTGTTGGCCGTTGGCGGCCATGTGAGTGAATCAATGGTTAGAAGATTCTCTCTCTTTTTGTAACTCTTTCAAACAAGTAAAATAATCTTAAAAAGAGAGAGAGAGAGAGAGAGAGAGAGAGAGAGAGATGTTGCCTGGGATGCTCACACCCATACTGGAGTGCCTGAGTTGCAGTCCTCATTCCTGACTTAACTCCTGCTAACGCTCACCCCGGGAGGCAGCAATGGACAGGAGAAGCACTGGAATCTGCTGCCCGTGTGAGTGTTCTGGATGGAGTTCCAGAATCCTGCCTTTGGTCTGGCCCAGCCCTGGCTATATAGGTATTAGGGAAATGATTCAGTGGCTGGAAGATCCTTCAAATAAAAATGATGGCACTGAGCTGCGGTGGCTAAAGCCTCCACCTCCAGAGCCAGTATCCCAAATGGCCACCAGTTTGGATCCCAGTTGCTTCACTTATGATTCAGCTTCCTCCTAATGCTCCAGGGAAAGCAGCAGAGGATGGTCCAATTACAGGGGTCCCTGCACCCACGTGGGAGACCTGGAAGAAGCTCCTGGCATTGGACCAGCCCTGCTCTGGCTGTTGTAGCCATTGGGGAGTGAACCAGCATATGGAAGATCTTTCTCTGTCTCTAACTTTGTCTTTTAAATCTTTATTATTATTATTATTATTATTGCAGTTATAGAAAGGAGGTGGGCGAACAAGCGAGTGAGCTCTTCCACTTGCTGGGGCACTAACTGATCATAACGGTCAGAGCCAGGCTGATTTGAAGTTGGTACCACGGCACTGGCGCTAAACAAGCAAACCTTTAAAAAATATGTACATATTCCTCACATGTTCGAGTCAAGATTTCAACATACATTTTCAGTTATGGAGAGGACTCTCTGAGGTCTGTGACAACCCAAGAGGTGGGATGGGTAGTTACCCTGGAGGTTCAGCACTGGCTGCGAGGAGTTGGGAAATGCTACGGGAACTAACCACCAGTCACTTGTGGAAAGGCGGCCCTTGATTTGTTCTGGAGGACACCAGCCAGGACCCTTCCTCATGGCTGGGCCTTGACTGTCCTGCCTCCATCTTTCATACAGTAGTTGTGGGAGCTACTGTTAGTACTGGTGGGGTTAGCAAGCAGAGATACAGAGGCAAGTACACAGCGCTTAGCTTCTGGGCCGTCACAATCCTGGGAAGTTCCTGAGCTGTTAGCGTTTCCTCATCTCCTGTCTGATTCTCTGCGTTCTTCTCTTTGCCTGACTTTGCTGTTGCTGAGAAACCTAGCTTCTTATCATGTGACTGCTGTGTCCTGCCTGTGAGCTCATAGCCACACATAGGCTGGTTTCCACTTCAGTACAGAAAGGATCCTTGTCTATGTCGGGTGTGGGAGATTGTCCCTGGTCCTCTGCCTGCTGAGCTCATATGGGAAGCCATAGGCACAGGGCACACTGTTGCCCTTGGCTAACAGACCCCCACATGGCCTGTTCACAGGGCTGCAACAAGATTGATGGGCTGCATCCAGTCTCTCTTCCCTACTCTGCTAGAACTTCTTTGTAAACAACTCTAGGAAGTCAAATGTTACATTCATCCTGCCTTTCAGCAGATAACAAGTCTGTCCTGAGGTACACTTTCCTGTGCTTCCTAACCTTTAACTTCATTGGATGGTTCAAAAGAGACAGACATATCTATTAGCCAGTCACAATGTTGTTGTACTGTTGGGACCGCCCTTCTGCTTGCCCCCTTCTCCTACCTAAGCTTGTGACTTCTCTTAACAGACACTCTTAACCACCAGTTTGCCTCCAGTGTTTCTGCTGCAGAAGAGCACTGTCCTCTCACCCCTTGGTGGTCTCGGGGCCTGCTGGACAGATGATCGCTGAGAGCTGGGCACAGAGGAGATTGGCAAACTGTTTTGTAAGCAAACCACATACTTATAAAGCTTCAAGTAGCCCACACAGAAAGTGGGAAAGAATTCCACAGCAGACACTTCGGTAGCAATGATCTGACATCCACATTTATTTACCTGATTGCACTTTCAAAGGCAGGCTAGCATCCCCATGGTCAGCACACTGAGTTAGCTTCGGGCTCCCTGATGCTGGCAGCCTGGCCGGCCTTTTCCTCCCTGTCTAGGCTGTCCTGCCCCTTGGAGGAAGAGTCTGGCAATGGCTGAGTTTGCCGAGCCCTTTTCCCCTTCTCCCTAGGGCAGAGAGGGGACTCGGCTGATTCTTGGTTTGAAGTCACTGGGGAAGACAGCCAGAGTGATGTATGCACAACAAACACTTGCCATGCATAAGAATGGAACAGTCCCCTCTTCTGTGGCAGGTGCCAGCAGTGGATCCTGCAGGGGTCTTGTAGTCATCAGGATTTCAGGGTTGTACACAGTGAGTTCCTTTGATGGAAAAGCTGCCCTGGGCAGGGAGGAGGAGTTCCTTCATTTCAGTGACTGAATAGCAAGAGGGAGTCCCAGGCAGCAGCACACTTCCGACCCACAGTGCTCACTTCACCCCCAATAACTGCAGGGTCCAGGCAAACTCCACTGGGAGGGCAGAGGGTGGTATTGTGGGCAGTGAGACCAGGAGCCCTTCCTCTGGACTGGTTGTCCACTTCAGATCGGCTTGTACTCCCAGCATCCTCACCTACAGAAAGCGGCCAGCAAAGACAGTGTTACCCATTAGGAAGCACCAGGCCGGGCGGGCAGCTGAGGATGGACCCAGGGAATGGAGATGGGGAGCAGTGGGGGTTGCCATGCCTCTTGGCCAGGCTGGCTGCCCCAGGAAAGAGCAGCGGAGGGCATCTTACCTTGGTAGCTGAGGTGGTCATGGGGGATTCCAGGCGTAGGACTCCATTTTCTGGCCAGTGCAGGAAAATGGCATAGACGGTGGATCCTTTCGAGGTATACCTGGGATAATTCAAACATCAGTGTTAAAGGTGCTGGGCGGGCAACCATGCGAGGTCACCTCATGCAGGCCCTGTCCGAGCCCTGTTGGCCAGCACAACCCTTTCTGGTCTCCCTCTAGTTTGGGTTATGTTTCCTTTTAAAACTACCGTGTTAGGTTTTTCATCTGGGAGTCATTTATCTTTTTTCAACCCAAATCCACATGAAATTAGCAGAGGAGATAAGGGCAGGGTACAACTCAGAAACAGGTCTGTGGGTCCGAGGTTCCACCACGTTCAGAGGGGGATGACAACTCAAACAACACAGCAGGACTCATCTGCTTCTGATGACCCAAAGACCTATGTGCCTGGGCATTAACCCTGTGAAGTTACAAATCATCCTTCTATACTGCAGGTGAAAAACTAAGGGCCAAGATCCAATGGCTAGTTCTGGAAGTGCAAGGGTGAGTCCTTGGCCAGCCACGTTCGTCGCATGCCTCACATGCGTTGGCTGCTGCTGTTCTCAGGAGCAGGGTCACGGCCACAGCTGGTCCACGACTCCTTCCTCTCTACCCTCCCTCAACAAAGATGTGCTGCTGGCAGAGGCCACAGCCCCTGGGGGCACAGCTGACAACCAGAGAGAGGATCCCGGCCTGGCTCGCTGCCCTGTGGACTCACACACACTTGATCCCACAAACGGCTGAGGACAACACTCACCACACGGCCGTGGCGTTCTTTTCAAGCTGCACCCTCCATGGCTTGGAGCTGTAGATGGCCTCCCCATTGACGCTCAGCCACTTTCCAACAGCCAGGAGTCTCTCTTGGAAGATGGGCGCTATCAGCCCGTCCTTGGTGGGTCCGATGTTGAGCAGGTAGTTGCCTCCCAGACTCACAGTCTGGACCAGTTCCTGGACAGGGCAGAGAGCTGGGCATCACTGTGATGGATGAGCTGGGCAGAATGCCCTGGGCACGGACATCTGGGCTGTCAAAATGTCTGTCTGTTGTCACTGTCAAGAGCAGGAAAGGATCATATAGAACTGAAAATCCAGCTGAAATGGTGACACGGATCAACGTGATATTCATTTGGACAGCAGAGGCTCCCTGCTGTGGCTCTGTAACTATACACGCGGCCAACGTGCTGTGAAGACGAGGGCCCTGCCTGCTCCAGCAGCAAGGGGTGCGCGTACATGCAAGTGTATGTGTGTGTATGTGAATACAAGTGCCCTGCTTGCTGTGTGCGCACACATGCGTGCCTTTAGGGCTGCCTCCAGCAGCTGTGCTCAAGGGAACCAGTCATGGATAGAACACTTAAAAAGAATTCATTACTGGGTCTGGCACAGTATCCAAGCGGCTAAAATCCTCGCCTTCCATGTGCTGGGATCCCATTTGGGTGCCAGTTCTAATCCCGAAGGGCCCACTTTCCATCCAGCTCCCTGCTTGTGGCCTGGGAAAAGCAATCGAGGATGGCCCAAGGCCTTGGGACCCTGCACCCATGTGGGAGACCCAGAGGAAGCTCCTGGCTCCTGGCTTTGGATTGGCTCAGCTCTGGTTCTTAAGGCTGCTTGGGGAGTGAACCATTGGACGGAGGATCTTCTTCTCTGTCTCTTTTCTCTGTATAGCTGACTGTCCAATAAAAATAAATCTTCAAACAAACAAACAAACTTCTTTATTTGAGAGGCAGAGAGGGGCAGGTGTTTGGCTAACAGTTAAGACACCTGCTTGGGATGCTTGCAGCTTCCAGCTAATGTTCTGGAAGGAAGTGGGTAATAGTTTAAGTATTTGGGTTCATGCCAACAAGTAGGAGACCAGATTGAATTCTGGGCTCCTGCATTTGGCCTGGCCCAGCCCTGGTTGTTGTGGGTGTTTGGACAATGAACCAGATTTCTCTTTCAAATAAATAAAAATTACAACAAACACAGCCCTGCATGTTCTGGGAGACAATGTTGTGATATAGAGGATTAAGCTGCTACTTGTGATGCTGGGTGCCAGCTTGAGTCTTGGCTGCCTCACTTCCAATCCAGCTCCCTGCTAGCATTCCTAGGACAACAGTCCAAAGTACTCTGGCCCCTGCTACCCATAGGGGAGACCTGGATGGACCTTTAGGCTCCTGGCTTCAGCCTGGCCCAGCTCTGGCCATTGCAGTCATTTGGTGATAAACCGACAGATGGAATCTCTCTCTCTCTCTGCCTTTCAAAATAAGCAAATAAATCTAAATCTATTTATCTACCTACTTCTATACATATATATATATATATTCTGGAAAAAAAAAGGGTTTGCACTGAACATGTACAGACTTTAAAAACAGCAAAAGGAAGGCAGAGAAAGAGACAGAGACAGAGCTCTGCCATCCGCTGGTTTACTCCCCAAATGCCTGCAAGAGCTGGCGGGCAGGCCAGGACAAGCCCTGAAGTCCGGAACTCCATCTGGGTTGCCCACATGGGTAATGGATCCAAACACTTGTGCCATCACCACCGCCTCCCAGGATGTGTATCTGCAGGATGCTGGGGTCAGGAACAGGATCGGGTGTGGACCCAGGCCCTCTGACACAGGACACAGCTGTCCTAAGTGCTATGCAGCTGGCTGGCCTTTTCACAGTATTCTCAGACCTACTTTCTTCTTAGGAGAGGCTTCGGTCAGTAGGCTCCATGGGACCATCCAGATGCTTCCATCACTCTTAGTTACAAAGCTGCTTAGAGACAGAACCAAACCACACCTTCATTCCAAGGCGCTCTTACCGAAATGATTGCTGACTCGCTTGCAATGTCGGCTAACATCATGTCGCGGCGGTAGCCCCAGGACATCTTGTCGATGCTGGTGCACATCTCCCACTTGTGGTCCGGCAAGCTCTCGGGCTTGAACTTGTCTTGACAGTTGTAGTAGCCTCCGTGGCGGCAGGAGCAGTTCTGACCCCATCGGTCGTTCACCACCACCTCATCCTAGAGAAGGAAGGAGGAGCAGATCACTGCAGTTACCCCCTCCCCCACTCATCTACTCACTGCCATGTGACGGACGTGCTGAGAGTCCATTCAGAAGCAAGGGACAGTTACTCTAGAGTAGCCGTGATGACCTGGGGACATTTTATCCTGTGGCGGGAGGACAATTTGGCAAAGCCTGTGTGGTCACAATGGTGTCAATGCCACCAGCATCTGGTGGGCAGAGAGCAGATGCAGGACCCTGGGCAGCCCCACCATGATGGGACACCTGAATCTTGGTGTTGAGATGTGTGGGATCCACACTGTGACAGTGGTGCAAAGATCATCCAGTCTGGATTCATGTTTATTGAAGCCAGTAATTAGACATTCCCCACCCCCACCCAGCACTAGAAAGCAAGGTTCCAATACGGCCCCCAGATTGAGCCATACCCCTGTCCAAGGCGGGTGGGGGACAGATAACCTGCAGTCCTAGTTTGACGTTAAAAACACCAATAAACTTAGTATCTAGATGACAGCGAACTCTCACAGCATCAACATGTCATGATCATGACGTACAGAGCAGTCACTTTCAACTTTGTTAAATTAATAAAACACGGTTTAAATACTGATCTTAAAAGGCCAATCCCCCCCAAAAAGTGCAAACAAAATAAAATAATCTAGCACCATACCTGTTACATTTTTAGAAAAGACCAATTCATGGGCCTTCATCTAGGCCCCCTCTTCAAGGCTGGACTTATTTTTCTTTGATTTCTCCATTTTAAAGACAAATAGTAGATGTGATTACTATAATGTGTATAAATAGCCATAAAATTTTCTTTCTTAACAGTCTACCATACAAGTGTATTAAATGAATACACTGCAAATAAAACGAATCTTACTTTAATGAGTAAAGGCTATTATTTGGCCTTTGGTTCCAATGCTTGAGAACCCTAGAGTAACGAAGTCCTCTCTCCTCCCAGCCCAGGAAGAACCCTGCAGCTCCTCAGGGGAGGTTGCTTTGGCAAGCACTGAGCACAAACACTGTGCCCAGGAAGCAGTCTTCAGGAAGCCTTCCTTCCCTGGAGTGGAGGCCTAGTAGCTAACTCCTTGCCTTGCATGTGCCGGGATCCCACATAGGTGCTGGTTTGTGTCCTGGCTGCTCCTCTTCCCCATCCAGCTCCCTGCTTGTGGCCTGGGAGAGCAGTAGAGCAAGGCCCAAAGCCTGGGGACTCTACTCTGACTTCTTCCCAGACAGACTGGAAGAAGCTCCTGGCTCCTAATTCGGATCGGCTCAGCTCTGGCTGTTGTGGTCACTTGGGAGAGTGAAAACCAGATGGAAGATCTTTCTGTGTCTCCTTTTCTCTGTAAATCTGCGTTTCCAATACAAATAAATCATTTTTAAAAAAGAAAATTAATTCTGTATATGTTTAGAACACATTTTTTTTTCAAATATTTTTGACTCACTGTTGGCTGAACCCACTCAGGTATAACCAATGGCTAGAGGGGTGGGCACAGGTGGCAGCCAATACTGGCACCCAGACACTCCAGCATGGCATGTGGGCATTCCAGTGCCATCTCACCAGCAGCCCAAATCCTGCTCCTGGAGTTCATATCTGCTTCCTCTTTCCAAGCTTGCATTTTTGCCTAACTATTTCTCTTTGTGATTTCTTCTTCTTTTTTAAAGATTTATTTTATTTATTTCTTTGAAAGGCAGAATGAGAGAGAGGAGAGACAGAGATTTCTTCCATCCACTGGTTCACTCCCCATGTGACCATAGAGCCAGGGCTGGGTCAGTCTGTAATCAGGAGCCAGGAGCTTCTTCTGGGTCTCTCATGTGACACTTGAGCCTGTGAGATTGTGACACTGTGGTCACAGGCAGGGAGGTTACAGCCAGGTCATGAGCAGGGAGCTGGTTAGGAAGTGAAACAGCCAGAACACTCACACAAGATGCCGACACAGCAGGCTACAGTTTAACCCACTGTGTGATGTTTCTTAATGACAGCGTAACTGCCCCACATAGCAAATGACTGGGCTCCAAGCTATACACCCTGAGTAGGTATGCAGAGGCACTGCTGAGCACACAGGGTATCAGTGACCCTAACTCTTGGTTCAGCACCCTCCCACTCATTCAGTAACTGTTTATTCAGCAACTACCATGGGTGTCATACTGCAGCACGCACAGCACTAGCAGAAAGCTGGGCCAGAAGTGGAGAATGCAGGAATTGAACCAGTTCTCACATGGGACGCTGGTGCCGCTGGCCACGGCTTAACCCTTTTGTACCACAGTGTGCGTCCATTCCTTTTCATCACATAGGATCTCTTTTCCTTTTTAATTCCCAGTTTTTGAGTTGGTAAGTAATTCTAATAACATCCTTAGGCGTCTCCCAAGCCATCCCAGCACTGCAGTGCAATTTGGCTTCACAGATTCACTTGACAATCCACCTCAAATCCACTGTGAGGTTCAAGACCTCAACTACTTTGCAAGAAAGCGTACTGAAACACAAACTGTAATGGCAACTGCAGTGGCTAACGGTGCTGGCTGACTTCAGGGAGGCTGTTAGGGCACACAATGACCCCTCAAGATAAATGACATAAATGACCCACTCCTTCAGAGTTAGACTATACAGGGGTGCTTCAAAAATGACATGTGAAACTCAGTATAAAGTTTTAGTGCAAAATTTGAAATTCATGCATATTTTTCTCATAATATACACTTTCCAGTCCTTTCCTATAATCTAGGCCCTTCATGTAATCATATAATCAATGAAGAGTAGGTAGGGTCACAGGCGCTCATTCCCTCTGTTTTATGTATTACAATATTTACTTGCTTAGCAGGGTTTATTCTTCTCTGTGGAAATCTAGAAATTCTCTCTATTCTGTGTTGTTTTATAAATTCAACCCTTTCTAAACCTACACGGACTGCATTAGAGGCAGCTGGTTAGGACAGCCCCAGCTCCTGTCGGAGTGCCTGCAGTTCAGTGCTGGCTCTGCTGCCCACTCCAGCTTCCTGCGTGCACCCTGGGAGGCAGCCAGGCTCAGCTCAAGCACCTAGGTCACCCCACCCAAGTGGGAGACCCGCAGGGAGTTCCTGGTTCCTGCCTTTGGCTCAGGCCAATTCCAGTCATTGCAGGCATTTGGGAACGAAGCAGCAGACAGAAGAGCTTGCTGTCTCTCTTCCTCTCTCTGTTACTCTGACTTACAAATAAACAAACAAATCTTTAAGAAAAGGCAGTCAGTGGATAATCGTGTACCTTGACAGGGCTGTCATTGTAGAGCCAGGCGAGGAACCCTGTGGAGTTCCAGTAGGTGTCAGGACACTCCCACTCCCCGTCAGACCAGATGAGATCGGGCTTGTAGCTGGAAGACAGGCCATCGCCATGATGCCGCTATGTCAGTGCACTCACAGTGACATCTTGCAGGGTGATTTTTGCAACAAATTTTAGATAACGAACCCACTTTGGAAGTATTAGTTACCATAATGCAGAGGATGTGACAATACAACATATCATTTTGTTAACAAAACCACTGTATAAGACAAAACGGCATTTTGGCTTATTACTTCCTCATCTTTTTTCTTATTTCTTTTTAGAAAAAGAAATTACAATCAATATCGGAGGGTTCTCCAAAAAGCTCATGGAGAATAGGGCTCGGCAGGGTAGCCTAGTGGCTAAAGTCCTCACCTTGAATGCGCCAAGATCCCACATGGGGACCGGATTGTGTCCCAGCAGACTCACTTCCCATCCAGCTTCCTGCTTGTGGCCTGGGAAAGCAGTTGAAGATGGCCCAAAGCCTTGGGAACCTGCACCCATGTGGGAGACCCAAAAGCTCCTGGCTCCTGGCTTTGGATCGGCTCAGCTCTAGCCAGTGCAGCCACTTGGGGAGTGAATCATCTGATGGAAGATCTTCCTCTCTGTCTCTCCTCCTCTCTGTATATCTGACCTTCCAATAAAAATAAATAAATCTTAAAAAAAAAAAAAGTTCACAGAGAATGGAACTAAAATACAAGGTTATTGGAAGTTCATGAACACGAGGGGTCTTCACAAAGTTCACGCACATTAGGAAAAAGCTTGGGGCCAGCGTTGTGGTACGGCACATCGAGCTGCTGCTTGCAGTGCTGACATCCCACATGGGTCCCCAGTTTGAGCCCTGGAAGTTCTACTTCTGATCTAGCTTCCTGTTAATGGCCTGGGAAAGCAGCAGAGCGTGGTCCACTGCACCCACACAGGATACGTGAGAGAAAGTCCAGGCCATTTGGGGGAGAGAACTAAGAGATAAAAGATCTATCCCTTTTTATCTGTAATTCCACCTTTCCAATAAATAAATCTCTTAAAAAAAAAAACTAAAGCTGTATGGATTTCAACTTTTTTTTTTCAAAGATTTATTTTATTTTTATTGCAAAGTCAGATATATAGAGGAGGAGAGACAGAGAGGAAGATCTTCCATCAGATGATTCACTCCCCAAGTGAACACAATGGCTGGTGCTGAGCCGATCCAGTCAGGAGCCAGGAACCTCCTCCAGGTCTCCCACGTGGGTGCAGGGTCCCAAGGCTTTGGGCTGTCCTTGACTGCTCTCCCAGGCCACAAGCAGGGAGCTGGATGGGAAGTGGAGCTGCTGGGATTAGAACTGCCATATGGGATCCTGGCGCATTCAAGGCAAGAACTTTAGCCACCAGGCCACTGTGCCGGGGCCCAGATTTCAATATTTTTATGCCACAATAAATTTATCTTTTTCATAAACTGAAAACAAAACAAGTGACAGGCACAGAAAGAGAGAAAGGAAGAGACACAGAGAGACAGAGAGATCTGTTCCAATGGCTCACTTCCCAAACGCCTACAGTGGCCTGGCCTGGGCCGAGCCAAGACTGGGGAATGCAATCCAGTCTTCCCGTGTGGGGTGCCCATACGAACCCCTCGGATCTGTACTAGCAGGCAGCTGGAGTCGGGAGCTGGGTACTGAACCCAGGGACTCTGATCCAGGGCTCTTAATCAAAATACTAACTGGTAGGCTAAAAACAGCCTCCACCAACCTTTCTGAAATAGCCTTGTATACAGAGCTAGGTTTTCTTCCAGTATCTAATTCCTGTTGAGAGTGGTGCTCTAAAACTATAGTACTGAAGCTGTTGCTTTTAAGATGTGTTAAGAGCACGAACTAGTCTGCCAGGCACGGGTTTTTGACAACTACCCAGCGTTCCCACTGTGGAGGATCACCAGTACCCACCTGGCCTTCACTTAGGTCCTTTGCATATTACCACTGAGTAATAAGGTAGGTTTGTATACACACACACAGATAGGTGCTATTATTCTCAGTTTAGCAGTAGAAACTCAACGCTTGGCAGAGCGGCGTGTTTTTGGTGACCAAGCTTGGGAGCTGCAGGAGCTGTGGCAGGAGCCGTGGCAGGAGCCGTGGCAGGAGCTGGCAGAGTGGCGTGGTTTTGGTGACCAAGCTTGGGAGCCGCAGGAGCCGTGGCAGGAGCCGTGGCAGGAGCCGTGGCAGGAGGGGTTAAGCTGCTGCCTGGTGCACCTGCATCCCATATGGGAACGCTGACTGCAGTCCTGGCTCCGCGGCTTCCAATCCAGCTTTCAGCTAACACGGGAAGAAGCGGGTGATGGCCCAGCACAGGAGACCTGGCGGGAGATCCTGACCCGTGGCTTTGGCCTGGTCCAGCTTTGGTTGTCGTGAGAGAAGTGAGCAAGCAGGTGGAAGATCTCTCCTATCTGCTTCGTTCTGTCACTCTGCCATCCAAATAAATGAACAAATTGCTGAAGAAATGTGACTGACTGATGCTAAAGCCTATGCTGTGCTGCTGAGCTGGGACAGCCAGGACTCTAGGGGAAAGACTGCTGGCTAAGTGGCGAGGCACGACACAGGAGGCGTGTGTTTTACCACTTGTAAGAAGTTGTACCAGGGGCCTGGTGCAAGAGCCTAGTGGCTAAAGTCCTTGCCTTGCATGTGCCAGGATCCCATATGGGTGCCAGTTTGTATCCCGATTGCTCCACTTCCCATCCAGTTCCCTACTTGTGGCCTGGGAAAGCAGTTGAGGATGGCCCAAAGCCTTGGGACCCTGCATCCACATGGGAGACCCGGAAAGAAGTTTATGGCTCCTGGCTTTGGATCAGCTCAACTTCGGCCACTGCAGTCATTTGGAGAGTGAATCAGTGGATAGATCTTTTGCTCTGTATTTCTTTCTCTGTGTAGTCTGACTTTGCAATAAAAATAAATAGATCATAAAAAAAAGTTGTAGCAGGCAAGGTACACTCGTCCCCTCACTAGCTCTGTCTGTGGCGTATTATTATCCCCATTTCGCCATCATGGGAAGCTTAAAAGAAAAGAACCACAGTTTGACTTGATCAAGAAGCTTGCAGGCAACGGTCCAAGACAGCTGTGTGCTTGCATATCCTGGAGATGGTCACGTGCTGCCCTCTGAACTCAGGTCATGCTGCTTCTTTCTGACTGAGCAGTAGTTAATGTGAACACGGGGTGTGGCTCTTCAAGTCTGTGTCACATCAGTTCCTGTAACTTGGCTGCCTACGCAGGTCAATACACAGTTGAGGCAGTGAGCCTGTGGGGCTCCTTTCCCCTTGAAAGAGGGAAACCTCTGGCCACTTGCTTTCATGATCTTTTTACTTTGTCTTTGTCTTGTTTCTTATGCATCATGCGTTGCCTCTTGCCAACCCTGTCCATGCTGTACGGGGAGGTCTTGGTAAAATTTTCATGACTCCATGCTATCATATCAGTCCCATTTCAGATTTAAACAAGCTCTGGAAAGGTCAAGCAGTTGGTTCAAGGCCATACAGCCAGTAATGCGATTCTAGATCCAACACTGCATTCTTGCCTGAGCGATGCCAGCTGCACAGAATTTGGACAGGAGATTGTCTTCCTAGTTCTCAAAGGGGTGTGCAATGGTGGGCATCTGCAGCAGTGATGAGGAGGCCACCTGAGGGGCGGGGGCTGGGGTGTAACCTTCAACCCACCTTCTGTTACCACCACATCCCATCTGGGCGCTGCTTCAGGTTCTGGATGCTTCACTACTGACCCGAAAGCAGCAGAAGGTGGTCCAAGTGCCTGAGGCGTCTGCAGCCAGGTGGGAGAACCAACTTAGGCCTGGCCCAGCTCAGCCTCTGTGGCCATCTGGGGAGTTAACCAGCAGACGGAAGAACTCTTTTTTCTCTTTCTGTAAACTCTGCCTTTTAATTTTTTAAAAAAGATTTATTTATTTTATTGGAAAGGCAGATGTACAGAGAGGAGGAGAGACAGAGAAGAAGATCTTCTATCTGATGATTCACTCCCCAAGTGGCTCCAACAGCCGGTGCTGCACCAATCTGAAGTTAGGAGCCAGGAACTTCTTTCTGGGTCTCCCACTCAGGTGCAGGGCCCCAAGGCTTTGGGCCGTCCTCGACTGCCTTCCCAGGCCACGAGCAGGGAGCTGGATGGGAAGTAGAACTGCCAGAATTAGAACCAGTACCCATATGGGATCCTAGTGCATTCAAGGTGAGGACCTTAACCATTATGCTATCATACCGGGCCCCAAATTTTGCCTTTTAAATGAAATGAAATAAATCTTCAAACATCTATGTGCAACCCATGTTGGAGTGTCTGAGTGTGAGTTCCAGCTCTGTTTTTGATGCTAGCCCTCTGGGAGGTAGCAGTTGATGGCTCAACTAACTGGGTCCCTGGCACCCATGCAGGCAGCCGGGCTTCAGTCTGACTCAACCTTGGCCACTGCAGGTATCTGGTGAGTGAACCAGCAGATGTAAGAATTCTTTCTCGCTACCTCGTTCTATCCCTTGAACAAACAAAATAAAACACTTAAAAAGGGATACCACCACCCTACTCCACACTAGGCAGTGTGACAGGTACTGTTCACATGTAATTCTGAGCCTACAGAGAAGGCCTTGCGGTCCCCATTGCACAGTGAGAGGTGCAGCTCCAGCTGGGCTGTCTCTTTAAGGCATGTGAGAAACAACAGCAGTACTTAAGTGGTGACTGGCCCCAGGATCGATCCTCCTCCATAGGGGCCCTTGGCCCCCTCAGGATCCTGATGCAACAGGGTGCTGAAGTTCTGAAGTGACTCCCATTCTGGGTTTCACCCACACGAGCAACATGACCAGAACCAAAGGAAGAGATGTCTCACTTAGACTACTCCGGTGTCTTGTAGAATTGCTGCACCTGCTTGCTCTCCCCCCTTCCAACACTCCCCTGTCGGAAGGCCCGACTCACCGTCGTCCTCGGAGCCAAACCCCTCCTGCTCCTTACCTGTTAACAAGGTCGTACAGCTCCGGCATCGTTTTTGCGCTGACAAAATGCTGCGTTTTGAAGCCATTTTTCTTATCAAGTTGGTAGAGAGGATGGAACCACTCCAAAAGTGAGTGATAGAGTCCATATCGGATGTTCCTGGAACAGGAAACAGAACAGAAATGGTTAGGAGGCAAAGAAATAATACGCTACATTAAGAAAAAAAATCAATTACAGCTTTTCCTTAATGGTTCTGTGAAATCACCTATTGGAGTATCCTGTGGTGAGGAGCCAACAGCATTTCCTTGAATTATTTCCTATCATTCACTAAAGCAAAAATGTTGGACTTAACTGTGTTTCTGAAAACCCATATTACTATTTTTCCTATATACTTCAACATCAAAAAGTCATCTAAACACACATATTTTATCGTTTTTTAAGATTTATTTATCTATTTGAAAAGAAGAATAACAGTGTGAGAGATCTTCCATCTGCTGGGTCACTCCCCAGACAGCTGCAACTCAAGCAGGTGCACAGGTTCAAGGTCGTAGGTCATCTGCCCCTTTCGCAGACACACTAGCAGGCTGTGGTGGCCATCTTGGGAGTGGACTAGTGGATGGAAGATTTCTGTTTCTCCCTCTCTCTCTCTCTGCAAATGAATGAATGAATGAAGACAGTGCTACAAAACTACTATAAGGCTCAGCACACTTTAGCTCAATTGGCTAATCCCCCATCTCCAATCACCAGGATCCAATGTGGGTGCCGGTTTGTGTCCCAGCTGCTCCATTTCCAGCTCCCTGCTTGTGGCCTGGAAAAGCAGTAGAGGATAGCCCAAAGCCTTAGGACCCTGCACCAATGCGAGACCCAGGAAAAGCTCCTGGTTCTGGCCATGGTGGCTGTTTGCGGAGTGAACCAGTAAAGGTAGATATTTGTCTCTCTTTCTCTCTGTAAAACTGCATTTCCAATAAAAATAAATAAATCTTTAGGAATAAGCAAAAAAACAGAAAGACAAAACCAAATGCTACTATTCAGGGAAAGAGAACACCTCGATGGCAGTCTGAACTCAGCTGTGTTTTTGCATGACTAGGATTAAATAGGAGTAAGGAGACAGGTTAGGGGTCCCAGACAGGCCCCAGCGTACGCCTGCTGTAAGCCAAAGTGCCAGGATGGGAGTGGCCAGGTCAGGGGCCTCAGGGGCTCGAGGCCAGGCTCCTGCGTTGGAGGGAGGCCCAGCAACAGCCCTGGCAGACCAGGTGCCTTCCACAGGCTCCCCTCCCTGAGACTGGAGGGCGGGATCACGTCACCTGTCCCCTGCTCAGGTGCACAGAAGCCAGCCATGCAGAGGGACGCCCTCTCTCCTGTGGACACAAGCTGGAAGCAGAAACATCTTTCCCACCCTTCCCCTCTCTATCCTTAAATGTATTTCTGTGATCTCCTCATGCTTTAAATCAAACTTGACCAAAAAAAAAAAAAAAAAAAGATAGCCCAAGTGCTTGGGCTCCTGCTGCCTACGTAGGACTTGGGTGGAGTTCCTGGCTCCTGGCTTCAGCCTGTCCAAGCCCATGCTATTTGGGTCATTTGAGCAGTCAACCAATTGATGGAAGAGCTCTGTCATTCTCTCTGCCTTTCAAATAAATCAACCTTTTTTTTTTTTCTCAAATCAATCTTACATAAAGTAGTAAGGAGAACACGGCAGTGGCACCCCTACGAAGGATCTGAAGTCAGCTATTTCATCATCTGGCTGGGACTGAATAGATAAGAGATGGACACTGTGACTCGAGTCCAGAGCGAATCAACGTTTACGGCAGGGTTGCCAGCAAAGCACAGCTCTGAGAATACTCAACAGCATTCAGGCGCCAGGAAATTCTTCAAGCTACAGAGCCAGTGTTGTGGCACAGCGGGCTAGGCTGCCACTCGGGCCACCTGGCTCCCCTCTCAGAGGGCCAGCCCCTCTGCTTCCCACAGGGGAAGCAGTGAATGATGGTCCGAGAATGCGGGTTCCTGACACACATATACCCGATGACCCCATGGAGTTCCTGACTCCTGGCTTCTGACCCAGCCCCGGCTGTTGCAGCCATCTGGCAGATGAGCCAGCAGGCGGGAGATGGATTTCTGTGTCTGTCCTTCCCTTTCAGATCGGTCAATCACTGTCAAAAAGGGCCCAGGGAGTGGTTTTAGATTTCACAGGCCAAGCAGCCTGTGTCCCAACCCCACGAGCACAGCTGGACAGCTGTTACGGGCAGCACTGACCTCAGCCAGCCAGCCGAGCCATCTGAGAGGAAGCTGATACAGGAACATCCACCCAGATAGTGGGATGTGTGTGTGTTGTGTGGGTGTTGGGGGGGGGGTAGCAGGAACACCTTACCCTGGAGGGTGGGGTCCAACACAGGACCACAGTTCCACTTCTGCCTCTCGCCTCTCTTTCCACCCCCCCGCCCCAATCCTCTCAGATCCCGGGTATCTACCTCCTATTAAGTGGCAAAGGCTGGGGGCGTGAATCAGACCAACTTCGCTGCCTGCTGTGGCAGCTGCTCCCTTCCACCCCGTCTGCTCTGTTATTCGCTCCAACTTCTGGAAGGCCTGGCCAAGGAGGACCCAAAGACGAGAGACCCAGGCCCAGGCCTGCAGCAGATGTGGGCAAAGGCTCTGGGCCGCCAGCTTCCCGGGACTCTCCGACAGGCTGTGGACGGAGCCCTTGGTTCCTGATGGCTGACCTTCACCTAACCACAGCTGGCCATGAACCCCTCGGATGGCATTACTCAGGCAGTGGCTGGGCGCCCTGCAGGTTACTGACACCTGACGGCCCAGAACTCAGCAGAGAGGACTCAGACACACACCTTTTCCGGACGGCTGCTCCCAATTCACCCACCAAGTCACGGTGCGGGCCCAGGTCTTTCGAGTTCCAGTTCCAGGACACGGGACTCGGCCAGTTGGTGAAGCCTTCGTGATGCTTTGTTGTCAGCACCACGTACCTGTGGGAGCCAAAACTGTGTGAGCAAAGGCAGTGGGCCACAAGCATGAACGTCCCCAGCGCCCTATGGTTTTCAGAATGGCTGGGAGCTGGTGTAGTGGCTCAGCAGGTTAATCCTCTGTCTACCAGTGCCAGGGTCCCCTATGGGTGCTGGATCTAGTCCTGGTTGCTCTATGTCCATTTAGCTCCGTACTTATGGCCTGGGAAAGCAGAGGAGGATGACCCAAAGCCTTGGGAACCTGTACCCACATGGGAAACCTGGAAGAAGCTCCTGGCGTCGGATTTGCTCAGCTCTGGCCATTAGGATCATTTAGGAGTGAACCTGCGGATGGAAGATCTGTCTCTCCTTCTCTCTAAAAATCTGCCTTTCAAATCAAAATAAATAAATCTTTTAAAAAGTAAAATAAAATGGCTAAGAGAGGCCAGCATTGTAGCATAGTAGGTTAAGCTGCTGGCATCTTTCATGGGTGGTGGTTCGAATCCCATCTGTTCTACTTTCAATTCAGTGAAAGCCCAAGTCTCTGGGCCCCTGTACCCAGAAGGGAGACTGGGACGCAGTTCTTGGTTCCTGCCTTCAGTCTGCCCAGCCCTGGCCATTGAGGCCATGTGCGGAAGGAATCAGCAGGTGGGAGAGCTCTCTTTCTCTCCCTTTCAAATAAATAAATCCTCAAAAAAAAGTAAGCAAAATGATTTAATGAAAAAAGATGTTGGGAGAACTTGACAACAGGAAATATTCTTGGATGAGTGGGCGAGTAACTAGCATCTGGCGGCAGTGCTGCAATCAGCCCTCCCCTTGGGTGCCGCTCCTCAGCGCTGAGTTCTCGTGGAAGGAGGTGGCCCAGCGGAGGGAGGGGCGAGCAGGGGTGGGCACGCAGGGGAGGGAGAGATGAACAGGGTGGGCACGCAGGGGAGGGAGGGGTGAGCAGGGTGGGCACGCAGGGGAGGGAGGGCAAGCAGGGGAGGGAGGGACGAGCAGGGTGGGTGTGCAGGGAAGGGTCGAGCAGGGGTGGGCACACACCGCAGCAGTTGGACTCCTAACCCTTCTGGGTAGGAATTCCTACTTTTTTTTCAACTCTTGCTCAGGAGAAAGATTTCCACTGCAAACAGCAGGTGCTGGAGCTGTAAGCTGTCGGCTTCCACAAGCCTCTGGAATGGCCTGTCCTTCACACAGGTGACAAAGACCCCAAACAGCTGGGGGGAAAGGCCAACCAAATCACACAGCATTTCTCGTGCCTGGACGGCAGGCTTGGACACCACCTGAGCAATGACTCACTCGCTGGCTGGCGTGGGGAACCGAGTCTATCCCGGGCTCTGGGGGCCTCTCTGCTCAAAGTAGGCGCTCCTTATAATAAAACAGTTGAGCCACTGCTGTCACATGAGTAGACACACACTTTGTTTATTCAAGCTTCCTGTTCCACCTTTCCCGCACGTCCTAAAGGCGATGGCAACAACTCTTTAGTACAGAGCTGCCAAGTTGCAGACGGCTGAGGGACCGGGCAGGGGCGAGGGCAGGCAGATCCAAGTTAGAGGAATTACTGGCCTCCTCTACACTGCGCCCCACTCCCGCCCCACTCCCAGTTCCCTACACCTCCCACGCCACACCAGCGCTCAAAGCCACACGAACCCCTGCAGCCCTTGCCAGGAGATGGAGAGCAGATGAGGGAAGGAGGGGTGGATCTGCAACACTACCCCCATTCCACGCTTTCCCTTCCCATCTCGGGGGCAGGAGAGCGGCCAGGGGCGCACGCAGCCCCTTCCTGCGGCCGTCCCAGGAGGCTGACGTGCTTGTCCAAGCTCACAGGTGACCTCCTTCGGGAAGGCGCGGTGGGCATGGCTGGGGGTCTCTGCACTGACAGGTGTAACCTGCCCGCCCAGGCGAGCTCGGGTCAATCCCGCAACCCCCAGGAGGCAGCGCAAGGGCCCGTGGGCTCCCGCGGGGCACAACGGAGGAGCTCGGGCCCCCCACCCCGGCCTCCCTGCCCGGCGTGCCCGCGACCACCACTCACTTGGCCCCCGCAGCCTGGAAGAGTTGGGCCCACTCCTCCGGGTAGAAGAAGTTGGCCGTGAACTGCGGCCCGAAGTCGGCGTAGGTGAAGCCGGGCGGGTAGTTGTCGCGCATGAAGCGCAGGTACTGGGGTCGCTTCTCGCCCTCCCAATGCCACCAGAACCACTCGCTGCCCCAGGCGGGCACCGAGAACACGCCCCAGTGCACAAACACCCCGAACTTGGCCTCGTCGAACCACGCCGGCAGCGGCCGCGAGTCCAGGCTCTGCCAGTCCGGGGTGTAGCGGCGCGGAGCCCCCGGCTGCGAGGAGGAGGCCGCCCGGAGCAGCAGCAGCAGCCCCAGCAGCAGCGCCGGCCGCGACCCCATGCTGGAGCCCGGAAACCCGGGTGCCCCTAGCGCCGCCGCTTCCGCGTCTCCGGCGCCCGGCGCTCGGGGCGCAGGTCCGCGCGAGAGGCCCCGCCCACTCCCACGAACGATTGGCTCGCAAGAAAAAAGGGGCGGGGCAGCCAAACAGCCTCCTTTCCAGGACGGCCGTTCCTGGCGCGCCCTCTGGCGTTCACGGGGAGAACGACGCACGAAGCGTGCACGGCGCTGGGCAGATCTCAGGAGGAACTATCTTCATAGGTAGGAAAAGCCCTGAGACGCCCAGAGCCAAATAGTGCAGGATGCTAGCTGTCTGGGGAGCTGCAGTCACAGCACTGGTTTGATGCACATGGAGCTAGAAGGGGGAGGGGTTTGAGTTGTGTGTAGCAGGGTGACCAGATGTAAGGTGTGTGATCTCTTTGGCAGAAATAATGATGGCAGCAGGGGGAGCCCTTAGGAGTGGTCAAGTGGGGAAACAGTGGGCATCAAACAGAGAGCAGGTGTACCCCTTTACCTGTCTGTCTCTTGAACTTGCTTTGGGCATCCTTGGGGCCGAGAGTTTAACATGTAAGGAAAACAGTGAGACCCATGCCCAGGGGAGCTTTGTAAAATACCAGAGCCAGGAGCTAGTGGGATGGTTCAGTTGGCTACTCCTCCATCTCCTAGTGCCAGGATTCCATATGGGTGCCGGTTCATGCCCTGGCTGCTCCACTTCCCATCCAGCTCCCTGCTTGTGATCTGGGAAAACAGTAGAGGATGACCCAAGCCTTGGGACCCTGTACCCATGAGGGAGACCTGGAAGAGGCTCCTGGTCCTGGCTGTGGATTGGCTCAGCTCGGCCGTTGCAGCTACTTGAGGAGTGAACCAGTGACTGGAAGATCTTTCTCTCTGTCTCTCCTTCAGTCTAAATCAGACTTTCTAATAATAATAATTTTAAAAAATCTTTTAAAAAGGGGGTCAGAGAATTGAGAGCTAAGAGGCTCCCGACCCAGTGAGCATGTGTGGACCTAACAGGGCAAGGAGGCCATCCCAGTTCTGCCTCAGCTGCAGGTGCCACACCTGCTCCAAGTAGAGCCGGGAGCAGGGGCCACTGTTAGGAATTTTTGCCATTAACCCGAGACACCAGACACAGTGAGTCACACAGGAGGTCTTCATTTCAGCAGGAGAGGTATCCGCAGGGACGGGCTTTATTCTGTTGGTAGAGGTGGCTGTGGGGAAGTGAGAGAAAGCAGGGCAGAGGAAGATGTTTGTGGGAAGGGAGAGCAGAGAGAGGATTCCTGCTACTGTAACAGGATGGGGCTCCCAGGAGGCCAGTGGGAGGGCAAGCTGGGCCAGCGGAGAACTGGAAGCCGGGAGAAAAGAGAGCTGAGGGCTGGGAGAGCGAGGGCTGGGACACCGGAAAGCACAGGGCTGGGTGGTGGAGCAAGGAGGGGAGCGTGAATTTATAGCATTGGGGCGGGCACTGGGAGCACAGGGTCTCGGGGGTTAGTAGTTACAGCAGCAGGCAGGGCCAGACACAGGGCGGCAAGGGATTGGTGGATAGGGCTGTGAGGAAACAAAATTGGGCATGGAGCCAAAACCCGGGGTCTGGTGTGGTAGCCTAGTGGCTAAAGTTCTTGCCTTGCATGCACCAGGATCCCATATGGGCGCCGGCTCGTGTCCTGGCAGACCCGCTTCCCATCCAGCTCCCTGCCTGTGGACCGCCCAAAGCCTTGGGACCCTGCACCCGTGTGGGACCTGGCTGCAGATCGGCTTAGCTTTAGCCCTTGCGGCCACTTGGGGAGTGAGTGAATCAGTGGACGGAAGATCTTCCTGTCTGTCTCACCTCCTCTCTGTATATCTGAATTTCCAATAAAAATAAAATAAATTTTAGAAAAAAAAACAAAAAGAGCCCCAAACCAAAACTGAAGCGAAGGGGACCGAGAGCCCAAGGGAAAACAAAACTGAAACGCAATGGGAGCTGAAGCCTAAAGGAAAGTGACTAACTCAAGGGACCTGGCCAGGGCCAGGGGCCGCCCAAGGTCGAGAAGGCTACTAGGGTTAGAGGTGGGCCTAGGCTGACTCCAGGGGTCCCCCTGCAGAGCCTGTGCCTCTCCCTGATGCTGGACTCTGATCTCTTACCCCAGGGGGAAGTTAGAGCCAGGGCAAGGACACCCCGGGCACTTCCGCATGAACTGCAAGGACAGCTCTTGTTTTCATTCTCTGGGGAAGATCAACTGGGACTCTGTGACTTACTGTCTCCTTAGCCACCAAGCCAACATGTCACCTGTGGGGGCAGGTGAGCCGTGTCATGGTGGATGTGATGGGAATGTGGGAAATCCAGGCCTCTTGCACCCCTCTTCCTCTCCCCCGTGCCTCCCCCACCAGTGCTGCAGAACTGGGGTGTGGCTGCGGGAGTGGCAGAAAGTATGAAAGGATTTGATTTCTGGGATTTTTCAATCTAGCTGAACTTGTCCAACAGGCATCCCCTGAGTCCTCATTTGTGTCAGGCACTTGGAATTTTCTTGGCTGAATAAGAGGAGAAAGGCTTGTCCTTGCTGGTCGGAGTCACAGCTGTGAGAGTGGATAATCCACCTTCCAAAAATGTATGATCAACTTCCCCCTAAACACACTGCAGTGTGCTTCCAGACGCGTGGTCACTGCCCACACTGCCTCGGGCTCTGTGCGGGTCCCCCCCAGGCCCTGGAGATACACAGGCACCCTTGGAGAGTGTTCGAGATTGCCATGACTGCCACATAACCCAGCCCTTGGGTGCTGTCCTGGGAACTTGTGAGTCTGACATTTTTAAAGACAGGAATGGTGCAGATAGAATTAATTAAATTAGACGAGAGTGGGCTGAAAGCCAATGATTGGTGTCTTTTTTTTTAAGGTTTATTTATTTGAAAGGCAGATTCTAGAGAGGGAGCCATCTTCCAAACACTGGCACCCTTCCCAGATGGCTGCAATGGCTGGGGCTGGGCTAGGCTGGCGTGAAAAGCCCCTTCTGGCTTCCCCTGCGGGTGGCCCCTTCGGCCATCCTCTGCCGCTTTCCCATGTGTATATGCAGGGAGTTGATCAGTAGAGCAGCCTGGATGTAAGTCCATATGGGATGGCAGGGCTGCAGGCTGCTGTTTAATATGCTGTACTACAGCACCAGCCCCAAGTGGAATCCTTAAAAGGAGATTGCAGAATATCCAGGGGAAGGCACAGGCAGGACTAGGATGACGTTGCCGGAAGGCAGGGAACTTCCAGCCCTCCAAGAGTTGGAAGAAACAAGGAAAAGTTCCCACCTCACACCTCTGGCAGGAGCACAGCCCTGCAGACACCCTGACTTTGGCTGCAGCCTTCAGAACGCCAGATGATGCGTTTCTGTTGTTGAGGCCCTGCAGCCCACGAGGTTCACACGAGGGCCGGAAGGAACAGCGACGCTTTGGGGTGGCAGTGATATGATGTCACAGGAGGAGGAAAGTGTCACAGGGGCATGAAACCAGCGGGATTGGATTAACCTTGGCCAAGGGGTTAGTGGGCAGGTGTGTGGTCAGACAGAGCTTGTCTGATGCCCCAGGTCTGGGATAGGTGAGCCTGGGGGAGCTGTGGCTTCTGAATATGCAGGAGGAGGAAGATGCTGTGTCTTGTCCTTGTCACCATCCCCTAAGCAACCTGGGCAACCACTGACCACACGTCCACAGTGCGTGAGCTGCGGCAATGTGCCTGGAGTTGATTTGCGAGGTCATTGTGGCTCCTATGGGGCCGGTGTGTGCAGTGGTTGCGTGTACACCTGCTCTCAGAGGGGCTGGTTGGAATGCTGGCTGTCCTGCTTCCTGTTCCAGCTCCCTGCTGACGCGCATACCAGGAGGCGGCCCTCGCCATCCCCGTGGGGACCCGGCTGTGGCCTGACACAGCTCTGGCTGCTGTGTGTGCTTGGCAATGAACCAGTGGATGAAACATCTCTCTATGTCTCTCTCTTTCTCTCTGCCTTTCACGCACAATTTGTGAAATTAAAAAAAAAAAAATACAGAGCCATTTTATAGAAGGGGCTTGAGCAGCTGTGGGGTTTGGTGTCGGGGGCATGGGAGGGGGTGGCGAGGAGGGGAGTAGGGGTCCTGGGGCCACTCCCTGTGGGTACCACTCCCTGTGGGTACCTGGACACCACTATAATGGCTGCAGTGTGACCACAGCCACCATGTGGCTTTGGCCCTTTGAGAGTCTCTCATCTGGACAATGAGCTCACCAAGCCCCTTCTCAGCAGGCCACCGTGAAGACCATGTGAAAGAAGGCATCGTTAGAAGCACTTGGCCCAGCACCTGGCACCTGGCACAGATTCAGTCCGAGCCCTGGCAGGCCTGTCCAGGCTTTCAGCAGGTCTGTTTTACCTGCTGACCAGTCAGTCACCATCACATGATGCCACTTTCCATCCCGGGACTGTCTCTTTGGTATTTATGCATCTTCTTACCAGAGGGCAGAGTGTGATTCCTACACGACAGAGGAGAATCTTGTCTGTGCTGGGAGCCCGGCACCTGCTGATGAAGTGCACGGACGAGCAAGCGCACAGCGCATGTCTGGTCTTGCATGGAGTGAAGGCAGCCACGTTCACCCAGTGGCGTTCCCTTTTTCAATCCCCGTTCCCAAACAATTGCTTTGTAATTCCTCTGCAGTCCTTGCTGCGGCCAACAGTTTCGTTGCCTTCAGTTTTAAGCCTGTTGGGGCAGAACTCGGCCTCCCTGTTGGGAACCACGAGACTGCCAGAAGCAGGGAGCTTCGTTCTTGCAGCGGAGGGAGGCTGTGCCGGGTGAGCCCTGGACCTGGGAAGGCATGTCCTGCCTCTCTCTTGGTCCTTTGCTCTCTCCCTGTAGGGTGTCCACGGGGTTGAGTGGGATTTGTGATGTTTTGGCGAGTTAGGTTAGCCGGAGACATCACCCGCTTCTGGCCACACCACCGCACACGCCCTCACTGGGTGCACATGGTTCTCTGGAGTCTGTCTCTAGTGACCTCTGCCCTCCCTGCAGACCCAGGGGTCAAGCAGTGACATCCAAGTTTCTAGAATAGTCCTGCCTGGAGCTGCCTGGCTTCCCGCAGTTTCCGGGGAATGCAGATGCTATGGCACCTTTGGTAGGCAGGGTGAACCTGCCAGTTCTTTGTCTCTCTCTTCACCAGACTGCATGGGTGGGCACGGCCAGTCCTGACACCCCTGAGCCTAAAGGAGTGGCCATGGCATCCGGGCCTCCGGAGCTGGTCCCGGGAGAAGCCCAGGACTACGTGCTGTCCTCGGGAGCAGTGTCCTTTCTGACCGGGTTGTCTGTAAGTGGAGCATAGACCACATCAGTAACTTGATCACTGCAGCCCTTTGGGCTCTGGCCCTGGGGTGAAGTTCAAGTCCCCCTCGGTCTCTGTGACAGAGGACTTGGGGACCTCTTCTTTTCCTTCCAGCCCCAGGCCCCTCAGGCACTTCTTCCAGTGGGCCAGGCGGTGCTGGGCGGAGGAGCGGATCTCGCCACTCCGCAGGGCATAAATGACAGGATTGACCATGGAGTTGACGAGACACAGCATGGAGCAGAAGGCGAAGGCCTTCTTGACCTGATTGCTCATCGTGGCCACCAGGCTGTGGGCCATGAGGGCCAGGACTGGGAACCAACATATTAGCAGCACCGTCAGCACCAGACCCAAGGTCTTGGCCAACCTTACGTCCAGCCGCATCCGAGCCATTCCTGGCACCTGCCGGTCCTGGTGCTCAGCCAGGCTGGCCACATGCTGATGGGCCTTCCAGAGGACATGCCCATAGGTGCAGATGATGCCACAGAAGAGGCAGGCGATGAACAGGAGCCAGCTCAGCAGGTAGTTGTTGGGGATCAGTGGAAAGAGCTCAGAGCAGGGACTGGGACAGCAAGTCCACCCCATGAGAGGCAGGTAGGACACCAGCGCCGAGAGGACCCACATGACGCCCAAGGTCACCATCGCCCTCCCACGGGTGAGCAGAGCTTTGTAAGTAGCTGGGTAGCGCAGACAGAGGTAGCGGTCAATGGCGGTCAGCAGCAGGCTACCCACAGAGGCTGTGAAGGTCAGTGTCACGCTGCCAATCTTCAGCAGGAAAACACCGTCGGAATCCACACCATGGAACACGTGGAAATTCACGAAGTTGCAGGCAAAGATCACGCTGGCCAGGAAGTCGGCCACCGCCAAGCTGCTGATGAACAGGTACGAGGGCTTCCTGCGTAGGCGGTGGGAGGACAGAATCAGGTAGAACACGGCCAGGTTTTCGAGGGCACTGAGCAGGCCCAGGGCGGTGCACAGAACGGCAATTGCTACCTTCTGCGAGTCGCTCAGGACCATGTACTGCTCCATGGAGTTGAACTTCAAGCCAGCGACGGAGTCGTTGGCTTCCTTTGAGCTCCCACATTGCTCCATGGGGTGGGCTTGTGGGCTTCCACTGGGTCTGCCAAGAAGACCTCACTGTAGCACAAGAAGAGAAGAGACTCTGTTAGCGTGACAGTGACCACACCTGGTCAAAACTCTGCGCAGAGAAGGTGCTGGAAAAGCAGCTTGGGCATGGTCCACCTGCAGTCTGGCGTTCTGCGGCAGGAGAGGGAGCCAGGCCCGCCCGGGCTGCTTTAGGGGAAGGAAGGGAGGACGGAGATCCAGCAAGTCTAAAACTGCCTGTAGGCTATTTGGTCTTCCGTTTTCCAAAACACAAATTCTAAGAATTCCCTTTGAAAGCAAGGAGTCAGGGAAAGCAAAAGCGAGAAGTGGCATTTGGGGTGACCAGCACAGGCTTTCTTTTTCTTGCCCTGACATTGTTTCTGTTTTTGGTAATAAGATTTTTTTAAGCTTATGTGGAAGGCAGAGGTGCCAGGATCCAACGGACATCTTTCATCTGCTGGTTCACGCCCCAGCGATCAGGCTGGAGCTGGGCCAGGCTGAAGCCAGGAGCTTCATCCAGGTCTCCTGGGTGGGTGCAGGAGCCCAAGTGCTTTGGCCATCCTCTGCTGCCTTTCCAAGCACAAAGGCTGGGAGGTGGGTTGGGTGCAGGATGACTGTGATGGAACCAGCCCTTGGACATGGACTGTGAGCATCATACATTGTGAGTTAACCCTTTGTGCCAGAACACTGCCCTTGAGATTTAATGACTAGTTTTAAAAAAAATATTCATTTTTATTGGAAAGTCAGATTTGCAGAGAGAAAGAGAGATGGAGAGGAAGATCTTCCATCCACTGATCCACTCCCCAAGTGACCTCTGCAGCTGGAGCTGAGTCAGGAGCCAGGAGCTGCTTCTGGGTCTCCCATGTGTGTACAAGATCCCAAGGCAGGGGCCCAGCGGCGTGGCCTAGCAGCTAAAGTCCTCACCTTGAGTGTGCCGGGATCCCATATGGGGGCCGGTTCTAATCCTGGCAGCTCCACTTCCCTTCCAGCTCCCTGCCTGTGGCCTGGGAAGGCAGGAGGTGCCCTGAGATGGGTATCCTGCCACATCTGATCAAGCTCACTGCTGAGTGCAGACAGAAGCCAGTGTGAGCTCTGGACACTGCTGCCCAGTGAGTGACTCCCAAGCCAGCCTTTCTCCCATGGACGCCACTGCTGCCCACCTGAAGGGGCTGAGCTAACTTTGTTCTCTCTTTTTTTCCTTTCTCTCTCTCTCCCTTCCTCCCTCTTTTTTTTCTCTTTTTAAGATGTATTTTTATTGGAAAATCAGATTTACAGAGAAAAGGAGAGGCAGAAAGATCTTCCATCCACTGATTCAAGTGGCTGCAATGGCCAGAGATGAGCCAATCCAGAGCCAGGAGCCAGGAGCTTCTGCCTAGTGTCCCAAGCAGTTGCAGTGTCCCAAGGCTTTGGGCTGTCCTCTACTGCTTTCCCAGGCCACAGGCAGGGAGCTGGACGGGAAGTAGAGCAGCCAGGACACAAACCAGCACCCCTATGGGATCCCAGGATGCAAGGTGCCGTGACGAGTCCTCTTCCTCTTTTTCTTTCTTTTGAGAGGCAGAAACAGGGACAGAGGATGAGCTCGCATCTGCTGCACACTCCTCCCATGCCTGCAACGGGGCTGCAGCTGGGAACCAGACCTCATTCCAGGTCTCCCACAAGGGAGGGACCCAGTGCCTTGAGCCTCCTCCCTCCCAATACCTACCCCCTCCCCCTGCCCACGGTCTGCTTTAGCAGGAAACTAGAGTCAGGAGGCACAGAACTGAACTCAGCTATGCCAGCGTGGGCGCCAAGTGCCTTTATCCTCACACAACGCCCACTGGAGGGCCGAGCTGAGCCGCCCTCTGCACCCTGCCACTCAAGCCCCTCCCTAGGTTCCTCCCTGATTCTCCCTCCAGCCTGGGCATGGTTTACCTCTTGCAGAGTCCAGTCTGGAGGAGGGTCATGGTGGGCAGTGGCTGGCATTTGTGCCTTACCCAGGCCTGCTGTGGTCACTGACACGTGGGCACTGTCTGAAGAGGGTAGGGGCAGGAAATGTGGGTGTTTGGATGGAGGACCCCAGAAGACAACAGAATGTGCACGACAGGAAGCCAGCTCTCTGTCCTCCTTGGGGCAATAGAGACTCCTTGGAGGTCAGAACATCCGGGTCTCCCGATGGGGGCCTCCTTCCAGGGCAAGGCCCGAGGCTGCCTGCCACATGCAGACCCTTGGTACCTGCTCACTGTTGGCACCATCCCCAACTCTGCCTCAGTTTACTATGTGACCTGGAGACAAGTCTCTTCAAATTCCTGGACCCCTTTCTCTTTCCTGTGAGATGGCAAGTAACAGCATCTGTCCTGTTCTCCTTGGGAAGGCCACATTGGGGCGCGAAGAACATGTGTTGAATGCAGCACTTGGGATACCCCCAGCCCTTATCTGAGCGCCTGGGTTCAAATCCCAGCTCTGCTTCTGCTAATGAATGCCCCAGGAGGCGCCAGGACTTGCCACACACATGGGAGATCTGGGCTGAGATCCTGGCTCCTGACTTTGGCCTGGTGCTGATTGGGCTTTGGTGGGCGTATGTAGGGATGGAAGCAGCAGGTGGAAGAGCTCTTTCCCTGTCTTTGTCTCTCTGCCTTTCAAGAAATAAGTAATCCATGAAAAAACGAAGGAAGGCCTACTGGGCCCTCCCCCCCATAGGTTTGAAACCTTGATGTATGGGTCATCCCTGTCAAAGGCCACTGAAGGCTTCCTATGCCAAGAAGGTGGTTGTTGGGTTAAAGAACCATTGGTGGAGTGGACACAGTGGTGCAGTGGGCCAATCCTCTGCTGGAAAGCACCACCATCCCACATGAGAACCTGTTTTTTGTTCCACCTGTTCCACTTCCCATCCAGCTCCCTGCTTGTGGCCTGGGAAAGCAGTGGAGGGCGGCCCAAAGCCTTGGGACCCTGCACCCGCGTGGTAGACCTGGAAGAAGCTCCTGGTTCCTGACTTTGGATCAGCTCAGCTCTAGCCATTGCAGCCATCTGGGGAGTGAGTTAGCGAATGGAAGTCCTTCGTCTTTCCCTCCCTCTCTGTACATTTGCCTTTCAGATAAATAAATAAATCTCTTCAAAAAAGAACCACTGATGCATGCAGAAACATTTTGTGTCCTGACACTGTGCAAACAAAGTTTAAAAGAGAACCAAGGGCTAGGTGCTCTCCTCCCCAGAAATGTGCCCAATCGCTCTGGGACTGGCACCTGAGGCTGCCGCCTGTTGCCCCAGCTCACACCGAGTTCTGGGAAAGCAGCCTCGAGGCCTGGGAAACAACTCAGGAAAAGGTGTGCCTGGGGTTTTCCGGACCGAAGTGAAAGTGTGAAGTGAGAGTGCACGGTGGGCAGCCGCCCGCCCTGGCTGCTGCCTTCAGTCTTCCCCTGGGGCGGGCATTTGGCACTGCGCCGGACTCGGATATCCCATATCACGGCGCCTGGGTAGCAATGCCACCTCCAGCCCTGGGGCCAGCTCCCTGCTCACGCAGCACCCTGGAAGTCAACAGATGATGGCTCAAGTTCTTGGACCCCTGCCACCTATGTGGGAGACCTGGACTGAGTTGCAGGCCCCCTGAGCTTTGGTCTGGCTATTGTATGTTCCTCTGGCTCTTGGACAAAATGAAAAGACACTTTTGAAGCCTTTATGGGAGCTGCAAGGTGGAGGAGATTGACTGTTGGCCTGTGCCCTGCCGGCAGTGGGTGCCCAGTGTCGCTGTCATGAGCCTCTCTGTTCATGGGAGTGGGGACACCTAGGCTCCCGCCCCTGATGGGGGAGGGAGGACTCTGCCCAGCTCACTTCTCCCCTGGGGTCTTTGTTTTCTCATCTTCGAAGCAGGAGGGCAACAGGGTGGTCTCTAAGGTCCCCCTTAGAAAACTCAGCCCTGTGGGTCCCAGACTCACAGCTTTGCAGCGGACAGTCTATGTGGCCTTGGGGAAGCCACCTGCTCTCCAGGAGGCTGGGTGCTCAGTCCTGCTGTTGGGAGGGTCTCATGGGGCTTTTTTCTGTATTTCTGTTCCTAGACCCCATCTACCTTTTATCATCAGTGTGGCAAGGTTTTGGGGGCTTTAGGGCTGTTGGCTGTGATCCTTCATCCTTGTCAATTTTACATCTATTTCTTTAGCAAAGGCCACCGCCTCCAGGAAGTCTTCTCTGATATCCCCTCCAGTTGGGTGAAACCATGTGTGTTCTACTACCCATGTTGCTGTGTTCACCAGGTGCTGTTGGTGTGTCCTGAGCCTCAGCTGGAGAGACGGAGCCAGATCCGGAAGTACAGTCATCAAAAACAAAAAATCACCTGGCACAATGTTTGGCCCACAGTTGGCTCCTGGTGGGAGGCTGTGGAGGAGGGCTGGAGCTAAGCTAGTCACCCCTTATGGAGCTGCAGCCCCGTCCAGCCAGGGGAGACGACCAGTGGCCCTTAGGGTACACCTCGGCCCCATTCCAAGCCTGCAGCAGCTGTGGTGCCCAGACCCCAGGTTCGGTCCGCCAGAGCCTCACTGCAGGGCTCACTCCAGTGCTCTGTGGACCAGGCTTGCTCATAGGTGGGGGAGGCACAGCAATGGCTCTCAGCAGATCAGGAACTAGGAGGCAGGCGGCCGGCCTCCTGGGCCTTGTGAGCTGGGACGCCATGCCTCAGGAGGATTTGGTGGCACCCACGGGGCTGGAATCCAGGAGTTCATGGATAGAGGTGAAACACACAAAGTCCCCCTGGGGCCAAGAGGTATGTGGCTATTTGGAAATGGATGCTTCGAATGAATGGATGAACAAACGCTAGCCGGGGAGAAGCGAGGGCTGTTGCCTCTTTACTCCAGCCACTGGCCAGCTCAGCACTCCTGGGGCCATGCAGGCTGCACGGGGCTCCGTCCTTGCTGCAAAGTCTTTTATTTTTCACCGCTCTCACTCATCAAGTAACCACAGCAGTCCTTTTAGGAAAGAACTCACGAGCTGGACCAAGGGACCGTTAGTAAATGCTCATTCCTTTTTTGCATGTTCGTGGGTTAGACAGCGGAGCCCCACGTGGGACTCCCCGTCAGGCTGCTGTACAGTTCCCACATTGCGGCCGCCCTGGTCTCTGTGGGGTCACCACCTGCCATAGACTCACTGCTTCTCCCTATTCCTTCTTGTTTATTTCTCCAGGGTCAGATGGAGCTAGATGAGGGCTGAGTGTCCAGGTCTGGGGCTGCCCCTTCACTGGGTTCAGCCCCCAGCTCTGGCCCACCTGGGCTATGGGACTTGGAGGCAGGTCACTAGGCCTCTCAGCTGTGGTACCCCCACCTGTGAGTGGGGACGCTTGCTCCTGCAGCCCCAGTGGGCCTAGTACATCGTGACTCAAGACTCTCATGGCAGTGGCTTGGCTGCCTGGCTGAACTGCAGGGCAGGAAAGGGCCCAGGTGAGGAGTCGGGGGCTGGGGGTCCAGACCCTGGATGCGTCGCTGGTCACCTCTTGTGAAAAGCTACTTGCTCTTTCTTGTCCAAGAACTGCCACTTAAAAGGAAGACTTGCGGGGAGGGGAGCTGGTAGGTTAAGCCTCTACCTGTGATGCTGGCATCTCATTTGAATCCCAGCTGCTCCAGTTCGAGCCCAGCTCCCTGCTAATGCATGTGGGAAAGCAGTGGAGGATGACCCAAGTGCTTGGGCCCCTGCACCCACATGGGAGACCCCGAGAAGCTGCTGCCTGCTCATTGGCTCAGTTCTGGCCGTTGTAGCCATTGGGGTGGGGGTGGGGAGCCAGCAGATGGAAGAGCTCTTGTCTGTCCTTTATCTGTAACTCTGCCTTTCAAATAAAAATAAATATTCTTTATATTTTCTTTTTTAAAAGATACCTAACATTTTTAACAATTCATGCTTAGCAGTTAAATGATTTTTTAAAATATTTTATGTTGTTGGGTTTTTTTTTTTTTTTTTTTTTTGAAGGGTAGAGTAACGGAAAGAGGGAGACAGAGATTTCAACCTGCTGCTGGTTCACTCCCCGGATGGTCACAACGGCTGGAGCTGAGCCGATCTGAACTCAGGAGCCAGGAGCTTCTGAGTTTCTCATGTGGATGCAGGGACCCAAGGACTTGAGCCATGAGCAGAAGGCTGGATCAGAAGTAGAGTAGGTGGGACACCAAGCAGTGCCCATAAGGGATGGCAGTACTGCAGACAGAGTATTAGTCTGAAACACCACCGTACTGGCCCCTAAATCTTAAAAGGAGAGAGATCTTATGTCATTTAAATCTCAAAATAGCCCTACCAAATAGGTACTAATTACTGCCATTGTTGGTTTTTTTTTTTTTTTTTTCATATTGTATGAAAGAGGAAATTGAGGCCCGGAGATTCTAAGCCTCCTGCTGGGGCCTTAGGGATCCCTGTCCTGCAGTCCCAGGACGCCACCCTCTCACTTGGAATCCCTTCCCCCACCTCCAACTAAATGCTGGGTATATGAAGCAACCAGGTCTTCCCCGGGATGTTTTTGCTGAGTCTTCTCCCCATCTTCTTCCTCTTTCCACTATCCTAAATGTCGACCACTTCCCTTCCAGAAAACAAGCTAGGAATAGCCACGATCACATCACCCTGGACATGGTCTAGGGAGATCATGGCTGCTGTGTTGGGCCCATGGCACGCCCCGGAGCAGGCGAAGCCAGCAGGTGAGGCCCCGTGGTGACAAGGCTGTGCTGAGTCAAGCGACGGGCAGGCCCTTGCCCGGGACGCACAGGCCCTGACAGTGGCCATCCTTGTCTCTATTCCAAGGCTGCATCACATCTGTGTTTTCATCTCAGCAAACTTCTCCCAGGTGGGAGTCTACCCCCACACCCCCACCACCCTCATGGCTTTCCCAGAGGCGCTGTTGGTCCGGCAGGGGGATGGTCCTCGGAGACTGTGTGCGTTCCCTCTTGGCTCAGCTGAGTGTTACAGCTCTAGCCCTTGGGCCGACCCTGGCTTTGTGACTGCTTCTCCTCAACTGCCTCATCTGTAAAGTGAGGACAACAACAGTGTTGGGATTCCCAGCGAGGTCCTTGAGGCCCTGCTTACTGCAGTGCCCCAGCGTGCACAGCCCTGTTGAGGTGGCGTTCACAAAAATTTTAAAATTCGTACACACGCAACGGTTCCTCTGCGCTTTCTCAAGCTCTTTCCTGTTGACAATGAAAGAAACGGTGTCCTTTCTGTGTGCCCTTGGGTCACAGAGGGAGGGAGAAAGTAGCAGGGAACCTTGGCCACAGGGGGAGAGGATAGTGTTTCCATTCACAATGTTTGGGGTTGAATGACCAGGAGCCAGGCACGTGTTAGGCAGCTCAGCTTATGATTAACCTGACCAACAAAGAAGTCCTCCCTGGCAGGCGGTGTAGCAGTGCAGCACATTACACCGCTATCTGCAATACTACCAGGATCCTATGAGTGGCTGTTTGAGTCCCGGCTGTTCTACTTCTAATCCAGCTTCCTCCTAATGCACCGAGGAAGACTTGAAAGATGGCCCGAGTGCTTGGCCCCCTGTAGGAGACCCAGCTGAAGTTACTGCCTGGTCCAGCCGCAGTTCTTATGGCCATTTGGGGAAATGAACCAGGACGTTGAAGATTTCTTTCTCTCTCTCTCTTTTTTTTTCTGCCTTTTAAATAAATGAATACATCTTAAAATAAGAGCTTCCTTCGCTCCATCTGTTTCCTGAGGAGGACAGGAGATGGCCTGGGCCACAACGTGGACCACCTCCTGGGAGAGGGCCTAGGGCCCAGGTGCCTGAGATTTGTGCCAGTAGGAACTGTCCTGGGCTGTCGCTGTGTCTGAGCCTCCCAGGAACCCCTGCCTCTCCCAGACTTGCTCTGGATTCCCACAGATGGCTGCTGGCATGCAGTCTGGCTTTCTTATTCAGTTGGCTTTGCACGCCCCAGGAGCTCTGGTCGCAGGGGGTGGGAGGGGGGCTTCCCTGACCTCAGCATACAAATTACAGGGGGTGGAGTGGGGGAGGCACTGCCTTTGCAGATTGTGCAAAGGAGCGGAAGGTACCCAGGTGCACGTGAAAGATGAGTCTGCCTACTCCAGTGAACCAAGCAAAGGCCTCAGATACTCCCAGAAGGGAAAAAGCGTACAGCTCTTCAGAGTCCCCGGGGCCCTCGCGTGTTGGGCCAGCAGGCCATTCACACCTCTTCTGTAGATCCTGATCCCGCCCTGCTAGTCTACACCAAAGACCAGCTCAGTATGCTGCCGCAGCTCAGCTTGATAAGGCTCATACTGCCTCCCTGCTCACAGTCTGGGAAAAGCATGGAGGATGGTCAAGTGTATGGGCCCCTGCCATGCCCATAAGACTGGACAGAACTTCTGGCTTGTGACTTCAGCCTGGCCCATCCCCGGCTTTCATGGCTTTCAGAAGAGGGAATGAGTGCATGGAAGATCTGTGTGTGTGTGTGTGTGTGTGTGTGTGTGTGTGTGTGTGTGTGTGTGTGTCTGACTCAGAAACTCTGAAAGAAAGAAAGATAAAGCATAAAAGGCAGTCCGCACCTGGCTGCCTGCCATCACGACCCGACTGGAGAGCTTGCCTGCTGGCTTCAGCTCCGGGAGGAGCTGGTTCCCTTCTCAGTGTGTCTGTCAGTGTCAGGAAGTTCTCTGAACTTGGAAGTTGTGCAATCAGCCACATAGAGCAGTGCGGAGGTGTTGGCAGATTTCAAAAGCCTGCTTGCTACAGTTGACACAACTCTTCTCAAACTTTGGTCTCAGCACCTTAACTACCTTAGATGTTAGCGGGATCCCAAAGAGCCCTTTTTTGAAAGGTGTGAGTTGCAACTGCCAATATTTACTGTATTAGAACATAAAATAGAGGGTCCGGGGAGGGGAAGAGAGGCTGGTACTGTGGCTCACTAAGCCTCTTCCTGCAGTGGTGGCATCCCATGTGGGTGCTGGTTTGAGGCCTAGATGCTCCACTTCCGAATAGCAGATGGCCGAAGTCCTTGGGCCCCTGCAACCATGTGGGAGAAGTGAAAGGGGCTCCCAGCTTTGGGCCTGCTCAGCTTCGGTCATTTTGGCTCTTCAGTGGATAAAAGATTTCTCTCTCTCTCTCCCTCATCTTACTCTGTGCCTATGACTTTTAAATAAAGAATAATTTTTTAAAAAGAACAAACTAACTGGGAACATAGAAACGTGTGTTTAATAAGGTTTTTATGTGTTTTTGGAGTTTTATTTGAAAGGTGGGGAGAGAGACAGAAACAGAGTCTGAGAGAAATAAAGAAATCTTCCGACCACTGTCTGACTCCTCCAGTGTTCCTATCACCCGAGGCCATGGCAGGTTCTGAAGCCAGGAGGCCAGAACTCCATGCGGATCTCCCAGCTGGGGACAGGAGCCCAAGTGCTGAAAGCATCACCTGTTGTCTCCCTGAGTGGGTATCAGCAGGAGGTTGGAGCTGGAGCTCAAACTCACGTACGCCTGTGTAGGAACAGCTTCCTACCTCCTGTGCCACATGCCTCTTCCCAGCCTACTGTATGTTAATAGCAGTAACATGGCATAGCACGTTAAACTTCCACCTGTGTCACTGGCATCCCAGACGAGTGCTCCTTTGAGACCTGGCTGCTTCATTTCCAACTCAGCTCCCTGCTAATGTAGCTGGGAAAGTAACAGAGGATGGCTCAAGTGCCATGGGAGACATGAAAGAAGAAGCTCCAGGCTCCTAGCTTTGGCCTGGCCCAGCCCTGGTCATTGTGGCCATTTGGGGAGTGAACCAGCAGATGGAAGATCTTTCTCTCTCTCTCTGTAACTCTGCCTTTCAAATAAAATAACTCTTTAAAAAGGAAGATAACTTTTCTTTTAGCAAGCTTCTTAGCTTATGAGTAGCCATGGGGATGCTCCCACCTGCTCTGTGCACAGCCCGGGTCACTATGTCACTGCAGCGAGAGCAACCAAGAATGAACTTGCACTGTGGCTACATGTGTCCTTTGTGGCAAGTGCGACAGGGGAATGAAATATGCACTTGTCCTTTTGGAGGCGTGAGGGAGTTACAAATCCATGTTTTTGTTGTTGTTGTTGTTTTTACAAATGTTTTCCTTGACACAAATACTAAGGGGGTATATTTATGCAGTACAAAGTGATGTTGGGCCACAAGTGTCAGCGTTGTTAAAGGGCAGATCCCAGCGTGGCACCTGCATGGCCACATGCAGCCTTCCCTGACTTCCAGACCAGTGTCCAGGGCTTGGGTGTGATCGAAGGACTTCCCCAACTAAACAGGCTCAAGTGTGGTGACGTCATTCCCACGGCGAAGTGTTCCCAGGGAAGAAGCCTAAACCCACCAGGCCCTTGAAAAGTGGCTGAGACTAGATAAGGTCACGTCCCACGAAGCTCTCGTGAGTGAAGCCTGGCTTTGTAGGCTGATGGAAGGGGGTTGGCACTGTGGTGCAATGGGCTCTAACTCCAAGTTACCTGCAGGTGCCAGCTGGAGTTCTGGCTGCTTTGCTCCCTGTTCAGCTCCCTGCTAAGGTACCTGGGAGGGCAGTGAGAGATGGATTCATGGGAGAAACCCAGATAAAGCTCCTGGCTTCTGGCTTCAGCCTGACCCAACCTGGGCTGTTGTAGGGAAGTAGGTCAGCACATCAGATTTCTCTCTCTCTTTCTGGCTTGCCCCCTCTCCCTGCAGCTGCCTTTTAAATACATAAAATAAATTTAAAAAATAAGAGTGCGCACTCCTTGTCTCTCTCCATGTGCCACCTGTGTCTCCCTGGGACTATGAAACAAGAAGACCTGCCCCAGAAGGGGCCTCCCACCTTTGAACCTTCAGGGCTGCGAGCAGAGTAAATCTCTTTTCTTTCTAAAGTTGCTGAGCCTCAAGGTTTTGGTTATAGTGATACAGAATGTGATACACTGCTCTTCAAAGTAAACTGTCATATTATTTTTAAAAATCTAAAATTTATTTGTTTGAGAGGCAGAGAGACATAGACTGACAGAGGTCCTGCTCACTGGTTCACACCCTAAATGCATGCAATAACCAGGCTGGAGCCAGGAGCCTTGAGTGCCTTCTGGGCCTCCTGTGAGGGGGACAGGAACCTGAGAACTTGAGCCACCACCTGCTTCCTCCCAGATGCACCCGAGCAAGAGGGATTGGAAGTAGAGCCAGGACTTGATCCCGGGCACTCCAGGATGGGATGTAAGTTACCAATAGGTTATTTAACCACTGTGCTGAGCCCCCACCTGTATCTTCACTGTCTTATAGATAAGGACCATCTATAGCCATACCACCCTAAACGCACTCGATCTCGTCTGATCTCGGAAGCTAAGCAGGATTGGGCCTGGTTAGTACTTGGATGGGAGACCTTATAGGCAAGGACCCTGAGACTGAGCCAGAATGGATGTGTAAATTGCAGAGTCAGAATTCCAACCCAGGCCAGTCAGGCCGACTTGGAGGCAGATCTGTCAGTGGAAGGCAGGCAGGCTGGATGGAGGGGTTTGGGGTCTCCTTCTGCCTCCTGCTTCTAGTCTTAAAGACCCCCAGCAGTCCCAGCAGCTGCTCGGGAGGAGTCAGAGTCTGCTCCCATACAGGGGGGCTGCTGGCTGCTCTGTTCGCTGCTGGATGTGCTCTATTTTCCAAATTTATTTTTGAGACAGACAGAGAGATCTCTCATCTGTGGGTTTACTTTCCAAATGCCCGCCGCAGTGGAGCTGCTCTGCTGTTGGAGCTGGGAGCCAAGAGCTTAGTCCAAGCCACCCACGTGCAAGACAGGGACCAACTACACTATCCATCACTCCTCCCAGGGAAGCTGGTGGCAGAAGCCAGAGCCAGGAATTGAATTCAGGGACTCTGATGGAGTCAAGAGGAGGTGTCTCTACCACTGAGCTAAGCACTGCCTCCCACTGCCTCCCACTGCCTCCTGCCATGTGGTGGCCGCTCAGCACCTTTGCTGTGGATGACTTGGTTAAAGTTCTCTGTGACCCACGTAAAAGTTGTCAGAGGCTTTGTTTTCAAGATTTCCCAAGGCCCCAAAAATAAACATATCATTTTATTCTAATTTCCTTCAACTTTTTGAAGTCCCCTCATATTAAAAGCAGTGTCAGGTCTTGGCACTGTGCTGCAGCAGATTAAGGTACCACCCACAGCACTCAGAGCAAGCCTGTCATTCAGGACTCAGGGATCCTGAGGTGTAAATGCTGGGTAACCACCTGTGGAGCCCCATTCACCCCAACATCGCTGAAGTCTGAGTCAGTGTGTGTGTGTGTGTGTGTGTGTGTGTGTGTGTGTGTGTGAGTGTTGTCAGGGAGTTCGGGGTGGCTGTCGCTATCACACCTGGAAGTGGCCAGGTACCTGTTGTTGTCTCTGGAAATGGAAGTTTCCACCAAAGCAAGGCTGCCGTGGCTTGAATGTTGGTTTGCGAGACCCCCCTCCAAAGGTTTGCAAGAAGCCACACTAACAGGGGCGGTACCAGGGCCTGGCAGGCTAGGCAGGCACGTGCATTGCCAACATCCAGTATAGGAGTGCTGGTTTCAGTTTCAGCTGATGCACATCTGATCCAGCTCCCTGCTCGTACTCCAGAAAGCAGCCAAGGATGGCCCAAGTGCTTGGGCCAGCCACACGGGAGACCTGGATGGAGTTCTAGGCCCCTGGCTTCAGCCTGGTCATCTCTGGCTGTTGTGGTCATCTGGGCAGCAAACCAGCAAATGGGTCTCTTTTTTTCTGATGGCCTGTCTCTCTCTTTCTCTACCACTCTGCTTTTCAAATAACCACAAAAAAATCTTTTCTATCAGAAAGGAGCACAACTCTGGGGATGAGAAGCCCGGACGATAACAAGGCCTTTTCAGTGGACGTGGCCAACCACCAGCTGGACATTCTGAACGCCCTGGGGTTTCCTCCTTCAGCTTGGCCAGATCCCAAGGGGAGGGGTCTGGCCCGGGCTGGTCTGCGGGAGTGGGCAATGCTATTTGGGCTGGTTCCCTGAATAGGGGGGCAGGAGGCAGGGGTGGGGGTGGAGACTGAGGTGGGGTGCACTTGGAACACTGGTGATTATGACAATAGCTGGAAATGCAAACTGGATGCCTATTTTATAGTGTGTATCAGGTGCCATTCTGCACGCTGGGTGCCATCACTTGTATGACAAGCCAGTGAGCGACAAGCATGGCACTCATTTCACGTGCAGCCGTGAAAGCTGACTATGGGGCTTCGGGCTGCTAAGATCTGCCAGTGGTGGCAAAAGGGCTGGAGGGAACACAAGGACACCTGGCAGAGGTTGCTGGACAAATGGAGGCTGGGGTGGGCACTCGGGGCGGGGGGTGAGGAGTGGCTGGGGCGTTGATCTGCTAGCACATTCAGAAAAGACATCAAGTTCCCATCTCTGACCCGGAACTTGGGATCGAGCCCACCTGCACGGCTACCTTGCAAGGTCACGTGGTATTTCTGTTTCCTGTTTTTGCTCTGTGGTTTATAGGTGAGACCAAGTGGGGCTAAGAAGGCAGTACACAGACAAAGCGGCACGAAGCAACCCAAGTCACAGCTGTGAACTCTGATGCTGGCCTTCATGAAAGCTGTGGGTTTTGGGGACCAACTGCCTCTTTGCCTTGAACCTCCGTGTCCACATCTATAAAATGAGAATCAGGGTAGCTTCTTCACTGAGGGCTCGGGGATGGCGGTGGTAGTGAAATGGGACGTGGCAGAGAGGTGGTGCAGCACAGGACCTGGCTGCCTTCGGGAACATAGTCCATGACTGTCACTGTTAAGTTTTCTGCGTGTATATCTTCGTGCCCAGATCCAAGTCTTCCACGGTGAAAAGGCCCAGCATGTGTGGCTGGGCTAGCTCCCTCCCAGGCTCACCTGACTTGGGAACTGTCTCACCAGGATATGTCACCTTACAGACCTCAATGGCGGGCAGGGGCCATTTCCTAATCTTCCAAGGTCCATGAAAAAGAAAGTGATTT